CTGAGGCCGTGGGGGGTGAAGACCTGAACCACCAGCAGGTAGAGCTCGGCGCCCTCCAGGCACATCCAGCAGAAGGCGGCCAGGAAGAAATAGTGCAGGAGCCCGGCCACCACGCCGCACACCACCTGCAGCCAACGGGACGTGGGACGTCAGGGCCGGGCTCCCGGCTCCTCCAGCCCCAGCCCCTGGCAGCAGGGAGCGCAGTGGGGAGTGGGGCAGGAGCACTGGCTGTGGGTGGAGCTCTCGGCTACTTCAGGCCCAGACACTGGGGGCACTGTGGGGAGCAAGGCAAGATTGCTGGCTGTGGGGTGGCTCCTGGCTTCTCTCGCCCCAGCGTGTGCCAGCAGGGGGCGCTGCGGGGAGCTGGGCCCGAGGCTGGGCGGGGGGGGCGGGTACCCTGTTGCCGGTGCTGGAGGTGCCGGTGAGGAAGACGGTGTAGGCGATGAAGAGCGCCAGGCAGAGGTGCAGGTGGATGGTGGTGCGGGGGCCCTTGAGGGCGCGGCAGAAGAGGAAGGTGACGATGGACAGCAGCAGGCACAGCAGCGAGATCACCAGCCCCACCTTGGTGATGACGTCCAGGGTCCAGTCCTGTGCCGGGAGTGGGGTGAGGTGAGGGGGTTAGTCTGGGTCCCCGTCCCCCCCCCACAAGGCAGCAGCCAGGCAGGGCTTTAGGTGCCCTGCGCCATGGCTGGGAGAGAACCCTAGTGGCGGGGTCCAGCAGCCCAGATGGATTTGATGCTGCCCAGCCTATCCTCCCCTCCCCCTCCCGCGGGGCTGAGCCACAGCCCCAGGGCCATGGGAAGCCGATGGGGCTCTAGGGTCACCACCACCCAAGGGGGAATCCCTGGCACCGATCCCTGCAGGACGGGGGCACCAGAAAGTAGGAGGAGCCGGGGCTGTTCCCCGGAGCAGAGAGCAGAGCGCCCCCGCCTGGCGGGAGGAAGCCCCTGCCCAGGAGGGAGCTGCTTTTAGACCAGACGGACGCGCTTGTGGCTAAGGTGCTGCAGCTCAGGACTCCTGGGTTCTACCAGCTCTGGGAGGGGAGCAGGGTCTGGGGGTCAGAGCAAGGGGGCTGGGGGTCAGGACTCCTGGGTTCAATTCCCAGCTCTGATGTCACCTCCCCGTGTCTCCTTGAGTGAGGCATTTAACCCCTCCCTGCCTCTGTGCGATGGGGATGGGGATGGGGGCTGTTCCCTGCCCTGAAATGCAATGGCGTGAGCCCCCTGCCCTGCTGCCTGGCCAGGTGGGCAGACATGTCAGTCGCTGCTACCTGGGGAGTCTCCCTGTGCTCTTGGGGGTGGGGGGCTGCTTCTGCCCCTGATCAGATCCAGGGCCCCGCCCGCCGGTGGGGAATGGCTTTACTCCGGAGTGACTCCTGCTGCGCTGGGGAGGATTGAGGGGAAGAACAGAACCAGAGCAGCCCCAGGCCCCAGCGAGAGCCGCGCCTACCTCCAGCTCGTAGAAGGCCATGAGCACGGCGAAGCTGGTCAGGTGGTCGCACTGGCAGCGGGTGCTGTTGGTGGTCAACTTCTGCAGGGTGCAGCCGTGGGTGGCCCAGTGCCTGCTGTCAGGCTCCCAGTAGGCGCAGAGGAGGCGCAGGTCAGCCTTGGACTCCTGGGGACAGAGAGACGCTTGATGCATGGGTGGGCAGGAGAGGGTTGGGGGGCTGGCTGGGGCCGCTCTCCCCAGGCCCCGAGAGAGCAGGTCAGGGGGGTATGAGGGGCTGGGCTGGGCTGGGCTGGGGGCACAGAGCATCAGTTTGTCCCTGGGTGGGAGGTGGATTCACCTGCTGCCTGGCGTGGGGGGTGTTACTAGAGATGGGCCCAGGCTCTGCCCCCTAGCACCCCAGGCTCTCCTCCCGCCATGCCCAGCCCAGGGGCTCACCGGCACCGGGTGGCTGAAGCGGATGCTGACGGAAAGGCCGAGTGCCTGGGGGTTCGGGTCACTGATGAAGGCCGACACCACTGGAGACAGCACATGGTAGCTGGGCCGCCCGGGGTCCTGCGCCCACTTCCCCGTCTGGCCGATCCTGTCCCACTCGGGCGCCTCCACCCGCCCAGCACCATCCAGGAGGGGGCTCATCCCCTGGTATGTCAGCAGCCCGGCCAGCGTGAAGCCTGCGAGAGACAGAGGAGACGGATGAAATGGGGGGCAGGAGGGGCCCAGGGGCAGACTGGTGCCAGGGGGTGCTGTGCTGCTGGGGGTGCTGCCCCCAATGCCCTGGCCGTGCCCATCGCTATACACATCCCAGCACAGGGGATGATCACATACCTTCATTTTTCTGTCCTGGGGCTCCGGCCCACTTTAATTCCATCTGCGTCTTGCTCTGCTGCAGTGTCACGGTCTCCTGGCTCTGGTACCCAGCCTGCCTGACCGCCAGCCCCAGCTCTGCAACCACAATGCCGGCCAGGGCTCACAACAGAGAACATGGAGAGGAAGCCGGTAGCTAGGCAAGGTGCTTTCCTGGTTGTGGGGGGAGCTCCTGACTACTCCAGGCCCAGCCTCTCTCAGCAGGGGGCGCTATGGGGAGTAGGGCGGGAGCACTGGCTGTAGGGGGGAGCGCCCATCTCCCGGCAGGGGGCGCTATGGGGAGTAGGGTGGGAGAACTGGCTGTGGGGGGGAGCTCCCGTCTCCCAGCAGGGGGCACTGTGGGGAGTGGGGCAGGAACACTGACTGTGGGGGGGGAGCTCCCGTCTCCCAGCAGGGGGCGCTGTGGGGAGTGGGGCGGGAGCGTAGGCTGTGGGTGATGAAAGCCCAACTGGGGCCACGTGGCCAGGCACTGACCTGTGCCATTGGTGGATACAATGCTGATCGTGCTGTCACGCAGGGTCAGGGCCAGCATTCTCAACTGCTTCTCCACTGTGGCCATGAGCTCCGTCGCGGTCCGGTGTCTCTGCTCCACGCTCTCGCTCTGCTGCCCGACCAGATTTATCGGCTTCTCCAGAATGTCCAAGAAGCCCTGGCCAAGCAAACGTGGGGGGTGTTGGTCTCACAGTGCCTGAGCCCCTGCTGCACCGCCCATTCCTAGATTGTTAGTCCTCCACTGCCTTCCCACAATCCCCCTGAAAGGAAAGACAAGTTCTCCTGCAATTGACATCACTGCCTGGGAGGTCAGACTAGATGATCACAATGGTCCCGTCTTGCCTAGGAACCTAGGAGAGCAGCTTGTTGGGCACAGAGCCCCCTGGAGAGGCAGGCATGGGAATTTCTGGGCAGTGCTGCTGTTTATTCATCTCCTGTTCCAGGCACTGCATCCCTATAGATCGCCCTGAGACTAGATCCGAGTGGGAGCAGCAATTCCTCCCCCTAATGGGAACAAACCCAGCAAGGCCCCGAATTTTGGCTTGGCACCTGCAGCTTCTCTTCGGCGTTCTGAGAGTTCATCTGCTTCAGCTCCTCCAGCGCCTCCTTGCAGAGACGTCCCACCTGTGCCCGGAAGCTGCCCAGAAAGTTCTGCAAAACAAGGCCCAGGCCTGGCTCAGGAAAAGAGATCACAGACTCGCAGCCCACCTCCCCCCGTCCCGAGAGGCTCCCTCGGCTCAGAAGCCGGGCGCCAGAGGGAGCGCGGGCAATGCCCCGTCTGGCCCCTAGGGGGTGCCCGGCGTTTGCAAGGGATGGGGGGGGACGGCGGTTGCAAGCTGAAGCGAGTTGCAGCAGCCCGATGCTGCCGATCCTGGAGGGTGAGAATCACCCCGGGGCAAAGGCCTAGGCCGTGGCTGGACTGCAGGGGCTCCAGGGACTGGCCACTGGCTCTTTGCCCAGGGGCGAGTTTGGCCCCAGAATCCTCGTGGGGCGAGATCAGTGAAAAGCAACGTGGCACTAAAGGGGAATCGGGGTCTATCCCCCCCCCCGGGGTCTCGTGCCCCACTCACCTTGGCTTCGGCAGAGTTGTCATCATCCGGCAGCGGGGGGCAGGTGAGCTCTGGGGATGGAAAGGGAGGAGGAGTGAGGGGGGGGGGGAAATGCGGGATCTGGCTGGGTAGGTGCATGCACCAGAGCCAGGCAGAGAGCAGGACTCATTCCCTCCAGCAGGGGGCAGCAGGAACACACCCAGCCCATGTCAGTGATATGGGTGTAATAGATCCTCTCCCAGCAGGGGGAGCAGTGACCTCCCCAGCCCCACATATGTGCCCGGCCCCTTCTCCCCATCCTCTGCTCACAAGCCGATCTCTGTGAAAGGAACCCTCCCCCCTCCCCGTCCTAGGGGACTGAGCCGCAGTGGGGTGGGACGGGGGCTATGGAATCATCCATCCCAGACCAGTTCCCAGCTCACTGCCCCCTTGGGCAAGACCTCTGCCTGTGTAGCCCCAGATCCTGCCCAGCCCCCACAGGTGCCTCCTCCATGCCCCCAGCAGCAGGACCCACCTTGGCACAGGGTCGTGTTCCTGTTGGAGGGGACGTATCCGGCCCAGCACTTACACCAGTAGCTTCCGTAGGTGTTGATACATGTGGCGTTGGGGCCGCAGATATCTGGGGTCTTGCGGCACTCGTCGATGTCTGAGAAGGGAAAGCGGAGGCGGGGGGTGTCACACACAGCACGGCTGGGGGCACACGGGGGGCGAATGACCATGGAGGCACCTTCCACCGATAGCAGGGGGCGTGGTCTGTCGGTCAGTCTGTCTGCTCCATCTACCCCCCCTCCCCATTCTATTCTCCTTTCTTCGCTGCTATTGGCAGGGCCCCAATCCCTGTGGCAAAACGCCTCCCCCAGCCCCCAGATCAGGGGGCCCAACCTTTTCCAGACCAGGACCCTGCGATCCCCTCCCTGCACCACCCCTGACAGAGCGGGGTTAAGAGGGGGCCCGATCAGCCAGTTAAGCTGCAAAGGGGAAGTGACTTAGGCTGCGTGCAGGGCGCTAGCTAGAAGGAAGCTCGCCTGGGAGGGGACACGTGGGGCTTCTATACAGCCCGAGGGCTGGGCCCAGTGGTGGGGGCCTGAGGCAAGGGGGGCTAGGAAGCCCCGAGGGGGGTAGGAGCTTGGAGGAAGGGTTTCGCTAGCAGGCATAGGAGAGAGGGGTCTGACTTTGAAAGGCTCCCCCAGAATGGGGATCACAGCGTGACCTGGCCAGACGGCCGAGACACGGGGCAGCCGCGACTCCGGGAGCTGCAATGGTGGAAGAGAAGAAAGGGGGCGCTGAACTGGAGCGAGTCACCAGAAGGGGGCGCCACACTCAGCGTTACAGACCCCAGCCTGATGGGTCCCCTCCCCGTTTGGGATATATCCAGCCCCGCCCCTCCCATGGAGCACTAGGAGAAGGGTAGGTGGGCTCTGCCCAGGGGAGTGCAGGGGAATTGGTTGCTGTCCCTTTAGTCTAGTTTCTTTGCTCTCTGGTGGCTCACGGGGGTTGATGGCAGAAGCCCGCAGACCCCCACATGTGGCCAGGCCCTGCACGGCTGGTAAACGGGTTGTTTGGAATCCAGCTGGATCCAGGGGATCCCCCTACTCCTAACTGCACAGTGAGCAGCGGCCCGACAACGTCCATTCCTGGACCCTGCTGTGACCCCCAGGCCCAGGGCCCCGCGGGGCAAATCCAGCGAGCCCTCGGACGGATGACGCCAGCTCGACACTCGCTGCCGATCCGGCCTATGGAAACTGAAGCTGGAAGAGACCCGCCCAGCCTGACCCCCAGCATAGCCCCAGCCGGAGTCGCCACCCAGCGGTTCACCAATCCGGCCCCAAACGGAGGGGACTTTACTGCCCTCACTGCCTCCTGGGGCCTTTCACCGCTGTGGAGAGTCTGATCTGACAGACGGGCCCCGCCCTGCCCAGGCACAGAGAGCTCTGCCGCGATCTAGGCAAACAAACGCTGGAGGGCTGTGCAGGGCCAGTGAAAGGAAGTTTCGTGCCCTAGACGAAACTTCCACCTTGCGCCCTCCCCTCAGCCCTGCGGCAGCTCCCCCCCCCCTCAGGTGCCCCACCATGGCAGCTGATTGGCGCTGCAAGTCTGGGAGGTGGGAGAAGTGGAGCGGCCGAGGAACGCTGTAAAAAATTGGGAGCACCGCTTTTTGGCGCCCCCAAATCTTGGCGCCCTAGGCAACCGCCTAGTTTGCCTTAATGGGGCCTGGGGCCGTGCACCTGCCAGGCTACCAACGCGGGTAGCGCCAGCTGCCGGGCAAAGGGGGGTACACGGGGGATGTCGGGGCTCCATGGTGCAGCGGGGTCACTCCCCCCGTGCAGGGAGTGGGGGTTTCTACCTAGGGACCCGACTTGTACGTGCAGAGACGCACTCGTTCCGGCCAGCCCCTGAGGAGCCTGCAGTCCTGTCTGGGGCAATGAGAGCTGGAGAAGCAGAGCTGGGACGAAAACCCCTTGAAGTCAGTGGTGCTGCACCAATTGACACCACTGGGGCTCTGGCCCCCGCTTTGTGACCATTTCACATACAGCAGCACTGAGTTGGTGGTGACGCATGGGGGACGGGCGCATCGTCAGTCATTCCCGCGGGTTGGGGGAAGCGGTTGAGCCGCTGCGGAAATGGCCATGACCGATTCTCCCGGAAATCCCAGCCAGGAACAAGTGCTGGAATTCAGCATTCACCTGCTTATTAACCCAACATTTCAGCCGTCCAATCGGGAAGCGGAGAAAGTCCATGGGACTCAGGTAACCAATTGACAAC